GAAAACAAAATTTGTCCCGTTCTACACACGTTTTAGGAAATTTCCCAATTGGGTGTGTTTCCGAGGACCTGGTACTACCGTAGGGACCGGCACAAGAGTCCCAACAATGTGGTCTGTAGAAGTTGTACAAGGGACGACGTCAGACACAGGGTGTACGAAGTTGTGAGGGTGGTAGCAAGGACAGTGGCTCCTGATCCTTCTGTGCACTCACAGCCTGGCTGCTCTCCAGAGCACCACCTGGAGTTCTTGTTCTCTTCCAAGTCAGCGCTGCTGTGCACGATAACCCATGATTTAAGTTTAGCATGAACCTCACCATTTATCAAAGGTTTCTGATTGGGGATTATCCATACATTTGCATTTGCCGATCTAGCAAAGTACCCTGCTGTCAATGTTTAACAGTTTCTCTTTTCATCTATTGATGGACTTTTTTCAAAACCAAGCAGCTTAGTCTTAGTCTTGGTTGTATGCAGTGGAGGGGCCTTTACCTTGTGGTAGGACTCTATGTAGTTTGCAGTGATGACAGGGGCAGCAGCTACATCAATGTCCACACTGATGTCTCCATCACTGAGGAACTGCTCTGTAAGCACAGACATATACAGGTAAACACACACACACACACACACACACACACACACACACACACACATTGTGCACACACCTGCTCTCTCTTGTATGAAGTCTGCCAGTATATTTGCCACCTTGTTGATCTCCTTACAAATCTGCATTTGAAAACATATTAAATTAAGTGTTATCTTTACTCTGACTATAAGAAGACATGTCAACATTTACTCTGGCTACAATGCTGAAAAGTAATTCACACTTTATTTATTTTCTTTGGTCCTCACCTGTCCCTTTACTACCAGCTTGACAGTGAAGGTGATGAAGTCAGTGAAGAGCTTCTTCAGCCAGTTGGGTCTGATCCAGGGAGCAAACACAGCACGGTTAGACACAGATTATCATGCAGACTGCTGTTAACATCATAAGGGTTCAGTTTTCTAGCTTACTCTTTGTCGCCCTGCAGATGCAGACTGAGTTTGTGAAAATTAAGAAAACAGTCCGATGTGTCTGCTGCCACCTTCCCCTCTCCACAGTCTGACAGAGGACACACAAACAGAACAGATGTGAGGACGTTTAAGAAAATATTTAAAGTCAGTCAGTTGGAACAAATAGGTTCCAGTATACTGAATCAGCAGCTGCCTTGCTGAAGGACTGAATAATTATACACCAAACCTTTTAAAAAAGTAACGTGAGAAAATATTTGGGATTTGCCAACATAAATAAAAATGATGTGCTAACTTAAAGAGCCTGTGACCCGAACCCAACAACTGTTGTGCAATGAAATAGTGGGCTACTAGTAATCTCGAACCGTCAGTTTAAAAAAGAAAAAGCGATACCGTTCCGATAAATATCAATAATTTCGAACATCGCGGGAAAATTCTTTCGACTCATTTTGAGGTTTTGGGGGAAGCCGGAAGTGACGTCAATGCGGGAACGCTTCACTGTGCGGCGAGAGAGCCAAACACGGACAAAGTGTGTTTTCATGCGTAGAAATGGTAAATTACTGAGTTGAGGCACGTTAATAACGTTTTAATGAAGTTGACTACAGTATATTCATATTTGTCAGTGCTTTCATGTCAATTCGGGGAACATAAACATAAATGATCGTGGTGAAGATGATGATTAAATTAGGATTAAAAATCGTAGTGAGAGCTGCTGAATTTCCTCCCGTCGGATGTGATATAAAAACAAATCGATTGTTTTTGTAGATGTAAACTCAAGTGGATTTTGTTTTTATATCACATCCGACGGGAGGAAATTCAGCAGCTCTCACTACGATTTTTAATCCTAATNTCAATCAATGTTTATGTATATAGCCCAATATCACAAATGTTACATTTGTCTCAGTGGTCTTCACAGTGTGTACAGAATATCAGTATGACAATACGACACTAACACCCTCTGTCCTTTGACCCTCACATCGTACAAGGAAAAACTTCCAGAGAAACCCCCACAGTTTAAAGGGAAAATGGGAGAAACCTCAGGGAGAGCAACCGAGGAGGGATCCCTCTCCCAGGACGGACAGACGTGCAATAGATGCCGTGTGTAAATCGAAGAGATAATACATTTACAGCATAGGTAGTCCAAATGTTTGGAAATGCATGTGTCTATAATAAGAAGATGAATCCACGAGGATGTCAACAATCTTGTGGGAGCCATCAGGGAAGATGAGAGTCTGGCAGGACCGCATAGACAGGTTCAGCCAAGACTCGAAGTCCAGGACTCAGATCCAGTGCTCAGGATAGAGGATCCAGGACACACGACCACAGCAACAGGATTAGCCTCGACTCAGGATCCCGGCGTATATATGGACACAAAAAAGAGATTTGGAGGAAACTGGGTTAATCGGAACATGAGAGTACACAGGTAAAAACAGCCAGAAAGACGGAGTAAGGTGCCCCCCCCCAACAGTCCAAGCCTATAGCAGCTAAACTAACGTGTCTACATACATGCACTCCCTTAGGATAGGTTGAGGGAAAAGGGTAGCAAGTAACAAGTAGGAAACAGAGGTGGAGAGGCACACACACAGGGAAAAAGGTCCCCATTTGAACCTGAATTCGTCAGAGGTAGGAGTGGGTCAGTGTTCTGTCTTAGTCTTACTCACACACAGTTTTCCCCATGTAGTGTGCTAAAACCTTATTAGGAATTGCACCCAAATTGCATCATCTTGAAGGAATCATCAAATTAGTTTTTAACAAACTATCCCTTGATACACTTTCTTTTCCATATTTAGTGTTAACATTACCATTAGTTTTCAGATGAATATTGAAAAAGAAAGGATTAGCTGGTCCAAGGGATATCTAAGGCTCTCGAGGAGTTCGAAGTGGAATAGATGAAAGTACAGTTACTAGTGGAGAGGAAATCAAAAGTTTCCTATCTTGCAAAATTAAAACAAACACTTGAAGTCGCCACAAGAAGCAAACAGCCACTGCAATGTGTTTTCAGAGAGGAGAGAAAGTCAATACAGAGCTGACTATGACGTCCTCTAGTGAGTATTGATGAACCCCTCACCGCTAGTAAAGGTTGGATTTAAATGCATACCTTCATTGACAAAGCTAATGCAATCACACTCTAAATGTGTAACATGCGTCACCTTTGTTTGATTGCACAGAAAAATAGAGGACATGACCACACTGCCCTCAATGGCAGCTGCAGCTCTGACATCGTATACCGTTTCCTTTCCAAAATGCTTATTTATTGATACAATGTAAAATACACATTCAAAGGGAAAAAAACAACCTTATTGTGATGGTAATAATATGGTGATGCTTGGTTGGTTATTCGACCGCTTTGGTTCTGCTGAAATATCTCAACTATGAAATGGATTGACATTTGGTTTATTCACGGTCTCTTAGGAATGAAACCAATTGACTTAGTGATCCCCTGACTTTTCCTCTATTGTTGCCATTTGACTGAGTGGATTGTCGGTAAAAGCCATGGGATGGATTAAAAAGACTCTCGGTGTAGTGCCATTATCAGGTCAATGTCTCAATGTTGGTGTATGGTTAACTCAGATGATGAACACAAACAAAATGGTATCTGTTAAAAACCAGCATGTAAGCATGTTCACATTAGAATTTAGGTTAAAGAACCTCAGTTCAGCATCTGTTAAAGTCTTTTTTTTAATTACGTATTATGTAGTTATAGATACAATGTTCTGATAAGCAAAACTGATGATGACGTGATAGGTCCACTGATTTCTGAACAGTTTTCTTAATACAGTTCTTTCCTCATAAGTCAGTCGCACATATTCTGAATAATCTATTCTGAAAATATGTATGCGAGTACGTTTTGTCTGTGCTGGGACCCTGTGTCTGTGTGTGCTGGAGTGTGTCAAAGCAACAAGGAGAAACACAAAGGTTCAGAGTCTGGTTTTGACAAGTCTTGACTGGTGTTATTTAATTTGGCATGCGGCATTTAGCTTTGAAGACTGCAGTTTTTAAAAAACAATTCTTTAGCAACAAGTGTCCAAAGGTTCCTGCAGACTCTGTTATACGATGCTGCTTCAGATGTTTATCTCTAAAATTGATTTTTGATACCCATGTTATTACATTTGAATTACGTTTTTTATCAACTTCCCGAGAAAAATAAAGAAACTTATCCACTTTCTTTTCTTTTGAAGATTGAGTGAGAAACATATAAGACATGTCATTTGGGTTTTGCCACCATAGATAACAGTGGGCAAAAGATCCCATAGATTGATTTTAGGGATAAAATTAATTGCACGGGTGTCCAATAGGGAGCTGCTGGGGACCGTTGATTCTTCCTCACCCATTTGTGCATGATGAGGAGGGGTGAGGTTAGTTGGATGATGCTCTATCATCCGTGACCAAATAAATCCAGCAACCTGGATTTATTGGTCGGATAAAGATGATGAGTTTGAATGAACTAGCATTTGGAATTGCTTTTCTCATTTATTTTCTGGTTGGGTCAGTGGAAGTTAATTAATTTCTCTTCATGTGATTTTATCGTTGGCACACAGGCACCTTTTGGGGTGGGTTTCATAGATAGTACTTTTTAATCTTGTAATGGCTTCCAATATCATTTATCCAGACCTATTTAAATTGCACCTAAATTAAAAACTGTAAAGATTTATATTCCAACAAATTGTTTAGAGCTTGAAATATTCTAAAATAAGACCTAAAAGCTAAATCCTTACGGTAATTAGACAATGAGACAATGTGGTTTTTGTATACAAACATAAGTTCATCCCCAAGATAATTATTCATACACACAAAAGCAGAGAGGAAGACTGACAGGTGGTCCTCGGTGTAAAAAACACCAAATAAATACTCTGTAACATCCCAGTAAACGATCAATTCTGGTAGTGTCGAGCAATATTTACTCTGTGCACAAACAACATTCAAGATCACTCTCTGCTGAATGTGTCCCAACGTGTGATTCAAAACAAACACTGTGCAGACGGCCTGTGATAGCGGAGGAGGTGAGGGAGTGCTGCATGGGAAACGCTTTAAAAATGTAACATGAACGCAGTTTGAAACACAGATCCCATCAAAGCCACCTGCTGTAGTCAGTCTCTTCCGATCAATGAAATGTCATCCAACCTTATCCCCCCTCCATCCAACCCCCCTGAAAGAGTAGTGGTATCACTCCACAAATCCCTCAGCTGAGGGCAACTTAGAGACAGATTGTCAGAGTCGGAGGAGCGCAGAGAGACAGGAACAGGTTGATGTGAGGACTGGCCTAAGGAAAACCTACAAGAGGATTCAATAAAAAGTTTACAAAGAAGGTTTTAACTGCAGTGTTTCTATTTGTGATTAGTCGGGCATCTTATTAATATAAAGATACTTTCTTTACTAACAATTCCTATACTGTGAGTTTGAGGCTCAGGTATCAGCTGGTACTCTGTTTCCCATACAGGTGAAATCATTTTGTTTTCAGACACATTCCTTTTTTTACACACAAAATAATTTAATGAGAAGAGATTAACAATATGTATGTATTCCAACTTTTAGGGTAACAGTGTATTTGCCCTTAGCATTAAATGAAATTATTTTTGGTCTATACATGTGGCTGATTACTGTTACCAAACTGGAGGTTAACATCAGATTATACGATACGATATATTTGATTGTTCCTGTAACAAGATTTGTTCCGGACCCCTTCTGCAGTTCTACAGATAATCAAAATTATACGATTTACTTACAAACTTGGTATTACCAATATTACCAATATAATTTGTGATTGAGATTGAGTATATTTTGTAATGTTAAACACAATCGTACATTAAATGTGATTTTGAATGTAAATAGTACCTTTCCAGTTAAAGCCATATCGGGTTTTGTTATTGCTATTTTATATTTGATTTGGAACCCATCACTACAGGAACATGAGCTGATTAAAATAACAAACATGACGTCTGCTTTTACACTCCGGCCGCAGCTTACTTAGTAAATATTCATGTTTTAATTGGATTGTTTTCCTTTGTCTGCTGTGTAAATAGTTTTTGTTTGCATGAACAAAAGAAACGTGGAAGCCAGAAAGAAACTTCATTACAGTGTCAGAGAATAGTA